CCACATTTTATATTTTTAAAATGGTATTATAATGTACTCCTGTAGATAGTATTATTTGAAGCATTACTTGAAAAACCACTCAGATGTACTTTTTCCTATTATTTAGGAGTGAAAAATTTTCCTCACGTTGCTTACTCATCACTAGAAAAAATAGTTCCAAGTCCATATGTGGCAATGAACTGTTGAAGCTGTTGTTGGCACTCATTCAGATAGAGATCCCTTTGTTCTAAGTATTCTTCATTATACAGTTCAAATGGAAATACTGCATTTGGAGCAACACCAAATGCAGTGGCTCCTAGAAGAAAAAGAAATGTTGTATAAATGGGAAATACTCCTTAACATGCTAAATAATAAATCATTTTCAACTGTAATAGTGAATATTTCTGTGTGTGTGTGTGTTTGAGACAAGGTATCACCATGTATTTCAGCCTCCTGAGTGCTGATTATAGTATAGACATGTGCCACCACATCCAACTTTTTTTTTCATACCAACTTGTAATGATTTTTAAAATCAAGTTCTAACCTATTCAGTAGAGTATATAATTACGTACATTTTTTTGAAACCCAAAATGAGGCCTTTAGTACAGTGAGAGACTAAATCTACATACCTACCTAGATCTGTATCTACTTTCTTTCCTGCAATAAAATCAGGAAGTAATCACAGCAATGTGTTTTGCATCTGATCTTTACTCATAGTTTTCATATTTTTAATGTCTTATCCCTTTGGTCTCTCCCCCACTTTTTTTTTTCTTTTCTAAGTCTCATACTGCAGGAATGTGGTACCATGTCATGTGTTGCATATTTTCCAAAGAATCAGTTCAATATAAATCATGACTTTAATACCTTTTTAAAACAGTACATATCCCTCTTTGGACTATACCTTCTCCAGCTGAGTACTCCATTTCTTTCCTTTTTTTTTGGCGGTACCAGAGATTGAACTCAGGACCCAGTGCTTGCCAGGCAAGTGCTTATTCTACTGAGCTATCTCCCCAGCCCCTCCATTTCTTTCCTAATCTTGACAGTCAACATCTCAAAGTTGTTTAGGTATGATAATAGTGTCCTAGAACCTTACTGGCTCCTAAATGTAATCTTAAACTCAGTAGCATGTAATATAGCTGTCCAGTCTGTTCCCTTGGGAAACCCTCTTCACTTTTATAACACCATGCTGCATTTTCCTTTTGCATTTTAGCTCCTGCTTCTTAATCTCCTTTGCTAATTCTTCCTCAACTCCCATTTCTAAATACTGGAATTTTTCAAGGTCAATGCTGGAATTCTCTAGGTAATTTCATCTACTCAGCTTTGAATGCCGTTGCTATGCTGATTGTTGCTAAATTACATTTCTAGATTAGAACTCTCAAATCCATACTTTTTATGTTGATACCTCTGTAGGATGTCATAAACATCTCTATGTTTCTTTATGCCTTCCTTCCCAGGCTTGGTAAATGGCACCTATGACAGCCCTAGTTGCTCAAAGAATGAATGAGCAGTTAGTTCATCTCCTGCCCCTTGCCTCTTCTGTAACTCCTAATTTAAACTTACTTTTTTTTTTTTTTTTTTTTTTGCGGAACCGGGGATTGAACTCAGATCCTTGCGTTTGCCAGTCAAGCACTTATCCTACTGAGCCATCTCTCCGGCTCCTCCTAATTTAGTTCATGAACAAAATCTGCTGGTTTTTGCATCCCTAATGTCCATTACTATCTCTGCCTAGTCCAAACTGTTATCAATATCCTTGGACTATGCCAGCAGTTTCCTATTTTGTCTGTCTCACCATTTTTAACCCCCTCCAATTTCTTCTCCACATCCACTAACACAGTGATAGCAAACTTTTTAGAGCTTTCATTGTTAACAGTCCATTGAGGCACATGTGCTATAGGTTCACCACCACTGCATCAAGACTGATGTTTCACAAATACAAGTGATCCTATTAGCTATCTGTTTAAAGCCTTTCTGTGGCTTCCCATTGTATTTAGAAGAGTTGCATGATCTGTCAGGCTCTGCAGGATGTTTTTTCCTCTCCAAACTTAACTTGCACCACTCTTGTTTAGTATGTTTTAGCTACCCTGACTTTTTCCCATCTTCTTGAAAGCACCTACATAAGTAGTTTTCCTTTCTCTAGGTTTTTGTCCTTGAGGTTAAATATATAACATCTCCTGAGAGAAGTCTCCCTAAAAATTCAAAGTAAGCCAGACAGGTTGGTGCACACCTATAATCCCAACACTGGAAATTGAGGCAGGAGGATCACCCTGAGTTCAAGGCCAGCCTTAACTGCATAGTGAGATCCTCTCTCTCAAAAAAAATTAAGTACCTTTTTTTATTATTCATTTTAACGATCTATTTGTTATCTTTACGGTATCTCAAATAGTATTTTATATTAGTATATTTACTTTTTTAATGTGTATTTTCTCCCTAGACTATCAGTACTACCCAAGTAGAGACTTTGTTTTTCAATGACTATTATTCAGGCCTAGCACCTAGTTGTCATTCAGTAAACAATTGCTGACTCACGGAACGATCATGAACACTTCATTCAAATGATACTTAAAAGAGAGCACATAATACTCATTTTAATACATTAATCTAATTTTTTTTTTTTAATTTTTAGAACCGGGGATTGAACTCAGACCCTTGAGCTTGCCAAGCAAGCACTTACTCTACTGAGCTATCTCCCTGGCCCCAATGTCAGTCTAAATTATAATTAACAAGGAAGTATCTTCACAGTTTTAATGTATACTTTATGGTATGTAAGTAATGTAAAAAAGAGGGCAAATTAATTTTATACTTAATTTTAGACTTAAAGTACCATATAAGCAGTTGGGGTGCTTCCTTTGGGCTGATGAGATAGCTCGGTGGCCTAAGAGCTTGTCTGGCAAGTGCAGTGACCCAGTTTTGAGCCCCAGTACTGCATGCCGTGCAGGCCCTGGAACCCTGGGGACATGGTGCTGGCCACTGAAACTGGGCATAGTGGCACACGCCTGTAATCCCAGCACTAAGGAGGCTGAGACAGGAGGATCACTACAAGACTGAGCTGTGTAGATACCCTGTGCCAAATAAAGATTAAAAAAAGTTTTTAAACTATTATTAAAAAAATGCTTCCTTAAATGCTTCAAGGAAGTCTTTAAAAATAGCAAGTAAAAATATTCTCTCAGTCTACAACAGGAGTCCTTAATATTATAATGTCATAGTTTGTAAATCCATCATAGTTTGGAAATTGTGTTTGTAAAAAGACAGAAACCCAGATGTCTTTAACAATTGATGGTATGTCAGTAAAATAGGCCAAATTTTTTTCTTTATGGTAAAATAACGTCTTCAACTTGGTTAAATAAGAGATGAATGTAAAGAGAAAGCAAATTATGTATCATTCCTATTATCTTTGCATTGGTTGGAAACCAGTATTTTTATTGTTTGGCAAATAAAACTAGTTCATAGTGACAATCTATCTGGCAGTCATCAGTCTCTTAAGACATCTCACAAAATTTACAGCCTGCCTCCCTAGGAAAGGACACATACAAATTGTGTATAATGTAGGGGTTCACAATCCCCTAGGCCTCCAAGCATCCATTTATTATAGCTTAGGAATGCTTGATTTAGACAGTCATGGAATTAAGACTATAACATTCAGGTGGATCTTTGTGATATATAATATTACATATATATTCAACACATTTGAGTACTAAACACATGGAAAAAAACACTGTTAAAATGGTTTGAAGGATGATCTCTAATTTAATGAAAACTATAAAACTTAATTTTCCTTACCCTTATGCTAGGAGTCTTTTATATTTGTATTAGCAAAAGCAGAGTAAGTATCATTCATTTTAAATGACTACTGTAGTCAGTATTAAATCTAGCAGTTCAGAGAGGTGGCAGTTTTGGCTATGTGCCTAATTCAACTATGGAGGATTGCTGAACAAATATACCATTATTTCAAAATTGAATGTACACTAAATAATTAAATGTTGTATTAAGTACTCCCCCCCAATTCTTTAATCAAACAAAATATCAAGTATAAAACCAAGCAGTGAAAAATACAAAACAATATTGGATACTACTATAAACAATGTATTCAAATTTTAATTTATAATTCCTTAATATTTAAAATATATAATAATTTAATAAAGAATATTTAAATAAAATTTGTAGGGATCATAAAAATGTATTACCATATTTCAGTGTGAGAGATATTTCAAATAACAAGGCTGCAATTAGTACATCTTCTTTGAGCACTTTATTCCTTAAATTTAACCTTGTATGGGCTTCAGATAAAGAAACCCTAGAAAAAGGAAATTCATGTAATAAAAATATGTTAATGTTATAAAAATACATTTATTTTGGTAGAAGGAGGCTAAGACATATATGAACATTAACCACATATTAAAGATCAGCCCATTTTTTAAAAAATTATTTATTTTGCAGTACGCAGGATTGAACTCAAGATCCTGGGCTTATGCTGCTGAGCTATGTTCCCAGCTCCTCAAAAAAAATTTTTTAAGAAAATTTTAAAATTAAAATTTTTTTTCCTACTAACTTTAGAATGTTACAGAACAAGCAAATATCCTGATTTATTGATGAGTTGGTTTCTACCCTACTTCCATTTATCATTCCATAACCCCCATTTCCACCTCTAGTTCTGTTCAGATATAGATACAACATACAGTTGGGAAAATAAACCTAACTAAGTATTTCTTATAGACAAATCCTTGATGTTTTCATTCAGTTCTTTACCTATCTACAGTCCTCACAGAAATTTGTGATTTCAGGGATCTTGGAAGGGATCTTGCTTGGGGTTCAAAGTTACCAGATTAGCAAATTTCCTTTATACATCTCAGCTGTCTCTCCTAGGATTCATTGCTTCCTGATGCAATCTATTTCTCTGTCTCTCCTCAGAACTCTCCTTTCTCCCTCTCTCTCTCTTCTTCCTTCTGAGAATTGAAGCCAGGAGCACTTTACCCCTGAGCTCCATTCCTACCCCTTTTTATCTTTTATTTTGAGATACGGTCTCACTAAATTTCTCAGGTAAGGCTGAACTTTTAACTTTCTGAATAGGGATTATAGATATTGAAGCCAGACACAGAAAAATAAATCTTTCATGTTCCTTCTCAGGTGTGGAAGCTAAACAAATCCAACCTGAATGTACAATACTGATTACTAGAGATTGGAAAGGTAGGAGAGAAGATTGGATTTGATCGGCTAAAATGTATATATGGAAATATCACACTGAACCCCATTAGTGTGTTCAATTAATACAAGTTTTTAAATGAACACTACCCTACTTTTAGCTCAATGGAGGCAGACTGAGGCTGTATGGGTTTAAACACAAAATTTTTATTATACACAAAAAGTACATCATGAGAAAAAACTTTGAAGCAGTATATAATTTGATTTGAATATTTTCAAAATTACTGCAAAAAGGGAAAGCATTATATAATTCTGCTTATTATCAAATTGACTTCTTACCTTGCCTTTTGAAGTTTTTTTCAACTCTGAAAATAAATCTATAGCTGATGAAATTAGCTAAACATATCTAGTCCTATGTTTAATATTTCCTTCCAGTTTTCTTATTTTATATTACAGTAATAAGATACTATATTATTTATTTAATTATTTTACTCCTGGTCCTACTTCATAATTTGAGATTATATTTAGAATTATATTAGGTGTAATAATGGTCTTGTCAGTAGGGAACTGTATAAATTATGGTAAAGCTATTTCACAGTATTACTATATATGCTTAACATTTGAGTAGATAATTTCTGTAAAGATACATAAAAACTGTTAATAGTGATTATGTAGGCAAGTGAGACAATAGGTAAGATTAATAGGATACTTTGCTCATCATTTTAGATGTTTATAATATCCATACTTTGTTTTATGGTAAAAAATTAATGTTTTTAACTAGAAGGAACAGTTATAGATGAATATAATAAAGTACTTAAAAGTACAAGAAGGCTGGGGAGATAGCTCAATAGAATAAGTGCTTGCCTGGCAAGCGCAAGGGCCTGAGTTCAATCCCTGGTTCTGCAAAAAAAAAAAGAAAAAAAAAAAAAAAAGTACAAGAAACAATATACTTAAAAATTTTTTCTAAGTCCAACTATAACTTGAAATATAAACAGACAAACTTTAAAAAGCAATTGTTTGCATTTCAAATCTGTGATTTTTTTCAGACACATCTCCTACAAGGGATCAAATAAAAACCTAAGGGACTGCTTAGGCAAGCATAGGTAGCTGCTACAGGGAACCACATTTCCATTCCCCACACTACATGCCATGCCAGCCCCACCCTCAGGGCCCACTGAGCAGGCCAAAACAAAACAAAACGGCAAAAATAATTATTAAAGGCTCAAGTGAGGTAAAAATATAACAAAAGAAATGGTTAAACTGTTTAAAATTCTTTGGGGACTGGGGAGATAGCTTGGTGGTCTAAGTGCCTGCCTGGCGAGCCCAAGGTCCTGGGTTCACTCCCCCATGGCCCCGGAACCCCGGGCTTGATGCTGCATGTCTGTAATACCAGCAGTGCTGGGGAGGCTCAGACAAGAGGATCACTATGAGTCTGAACTGTGTAGTGAGACCCTGTATCAATAATAAAAATATTAAAAATAAATAAAAATAAAATTCTTTAGAACATGCTGTTATAAACCAACTACCCAGTCATCAAACAAAGACATAGATAAGCAAGTTAATTAAATACATCAATTAGAAGTCAATTGTAGCCTTAACAGTTTGAATTACTCACAAGTATTTTAATGCAGATGCTGACAGTTTTGATCCATATATAGAATCTGTTCTGATTCTACGACTTGCTAGATAATAACCATGAATCATTCTTTCTGCCTCCAAGCTGAATTCTACATTCAAATTCTTTGCAAAAGCCAGTAGCTACATTAAAAATGAAAAATTAAGAGATTTAAATTTTATTACAAAATCTATTAACAAGTATAGTATAACAAAGTTTACTAGTGCCTTAATTTTTAGTTTCATAAAATTGAGTAAATACATGGGGACTTTTTGCAGTCAGTGAGCACTTTAAATCATAATCTTCTACTTGCAAAGAATATTAAAGTTTACCTAGAACAGTCTCCTTCACAGTGCAGGCATGTTCGACGCAATGTATTTGAATGATTAGAATATCTGTGCTTCCAGTGGGAGAAAGACCGCCTCCAGAACCTTATTTCTCTTCAATACCTTCATTTATTTGACAGTTTACTTCCTCATAACTTTTATTTCCAGATTTTTTGTACTATCTTAGTTTTGTACTTTTTAATTCACAGAGAGTAAAAAGGAAAAATCAACCATAGAGAAGGAGCACAAAAAATAGGTCCACGCTTCAGGAAAAGAAAAAGTGTGATATTTTTCAGTAGATATATACTTACAGAAAATCCACTGCACTGCTGATCCTTAGAGAAGAAATTTAAAAATGCATGTGCAGCAAGCTTAGTGACCAAGGTTACCCAAGCAGCAGTTGCCATACTGGTAAGTGTCTGGAAGATGAAGGCCACCACTTTGACCACTTCTTGTTATTGTAGAGGTCACAGGTAACTTGCATTACTCTCGTGGCATCTCAAAAAATTTAGTATTAAGATATTTATACCAGATTTTTTTTTTCTGAAGTGTATGTATATATATTTTTTGGCAAACACTGTATATATGTACATACATTGTTTTGGTTCTTTATATAGGTAATCTTAAATAGACAGACAGATATATATTATTTTTCTGTACTGGAGACTGAATCCAGGATTCTTCTCACTGAGGTACATCCCAAGCCCTTTTAGTTTTTATTTTGAGACTGCATCTTGCTAAGCCCCTAAATTGCCAGGCTGGGCTCAAACTTGCAATCCTCCTGCTTCAGCTGCCCACATTGCTGATTTTTTTTATTTTGAGTCAGGGCTTCATTAAATTGTTAAACTGCCAAGGCTGGATTTTTTTTAAAGTTTCATGTGTTAAAAATTGGGTAAACACATGTGCCCTTTTTGCAATCAATGAGCACTTGAAGTTATACTTAAATATTTGATCCTCCTGTCTCAGCCTCCCAAAGTGCTAGGATTATAGGTCTGTGCTACCACATTCAGCTTAATATTTATATTTTAAATATCTTTTAAAAAATGTATGGGTAAGACTGGGTGTGGTGGTGTGTGCCTATAATCCCAGTGTTTGGGAGGCTGAAAACAGGATTACTGTGAGTCCAATCTGTGTAGTGAGACCCTGTACTAAGAATACATTTAAAACAATAAATACAAATGTAGGAATATATTCTGGGCTTGGCATGTTCTGGACTGGATGCATCCTGTCATTACTCTCCTTCCAGTCCATGATTCTCTTGAGTCCTATAAACTGTATAGTATTACTGCTGATAATAGCAGAAGCCCTAAGTTTCATCCTTTGGTGGTACAGTGATGTGTCATCTATATCATACTTTTGGAAAATACTTGTTTCCTCAGCCAGTGGGAGTGGTTTCCAGTGGCCAGCCCCTTCAAGGATTTCCTCAGGACAGCCTATATCGTATGGCCTCCTTGAGGCAGAAGTAAGTGCTGTGAATCTCCTGTAAAGCTAGATGGCTCTAATGAGTCTTTTTACTTTCAGAGCTCCCTTTAGGACCAGCACAGGCTAATACTGAGCCCGCATGGCAGCTTGACTTCTCCCTTTCCAGTCCTGTTTCCGGTCTTCCTCATGTACTGATAGAAGGACACTCCCTAATACACATTAGCACACTACACTGCCTTCTGGATGAGAAAGCCAACTTTCTGGAGTGCTCAGGCTGATTTTTGGGGCTTGGAAAGTTCCCCTTCCAGGGAACCATTGTCACCTGGTAATATCTACTATTCTCTACAGTCTGACAAATAGAGGCTTATTGATTGTAAAGTGACAAATCCTTAAGAATCCACATATAATTTTTATTTCAGTTAAGCTGGTATTCTAAGTGTTCCATATATTTTCATTTTAACTTTTTTTTTTTTTTTTTGGGGGGGGGCAGAACCGGAGATTGAACTCAGGCCCTTGTGCTTGCCAGGGAAGCGCTTATTAAGCCATTCCCCCAGCCCCTTCATTTTAACTTTTATTTCTTAGTTCCTATCATTATTTTGCTTAGAGCACTTATCCTTGTCCTCTAAATTTTATGTTTTCCCAAGGTCCAGCTATCATCTCTTTTCTATGAAATCTTCCCAACTCTTGCATTGTACATTACTCTTTGTCTTTTTGAGACAGGGTTTTGCTATGTAGTACTGACTGGCCTTGAACTCAGTGTGTAGCCCAGGCTAGCCTCACACTTGCATTCTACATTATTATCTTCATTTCTGAATCCCAAAAATAAATATAGTCAGCACCACTCATTTTAGCATGTAATGTTTTTCTTTATATATTTTGTTTTTATCTCAAATGATAAACCATTGAAAGAAGAAACTTTTTTTTTGAAACTTTATTTCTAGGTGAATATAAAAGAACAGAGACAAACATATATGAATCATTTAATACTGGATTATGAAATCCATAGGGCTTTTTGTTGTTGTTTTCTAAGGGAAAAAATGGACAGAAATGCCTGTGGGTTGTTACTTTGTTCATACTTAGCATCCTAGAGATTAACTATTGTTTTCTTATAAGAAAAATAAAACTGACTATAACATAAATATTATTCTTCATTCTAAGGTATGTAAATAATGCTTCTAATTCATTTTTAAGTCCATTTCAAAAAAGTCCACTTCACCTGTCAAACTTTTACTTATGCAGTATGGTTACAAGGAAGACAAGTGTGAAGAAAAACTTTTCAATAGCTATGGACACTCACTTCACCTTATCTCCTAACTCCTACTGTGTCCTAAAAAGATTCTCATTATAAACAAATTTCTCATTAATTGAAGGTTTCTGTTGTAAATACATATGTGCCTTTAATTTCTATGGCAATTATTACTAAATTTATATTATTTGCTTAGAACATGCCACATGTCTTCTCTGCACATGTCATGCATCTTTATGATGTCAGAATATTATGTATTGGTGAGTCATGTTAGGTACTGCCAAAAAGCAGAACTCTGATTTTTATGTGGTATAGCTTGTGTCTTCATGTCCCCTCAAAACCTCATACAGTCCTAAGTGTGGTTTTTGGAGATGGCTGGATCTAGGATATGTGATGATGGGATTAAGGATGTGTTCCTGGGATCAGTGGTGTGATGTCAGGATTAAGGGTGCCCCTCCCTTGGTGTGAGTGCTACCTGCCCTTCGGGCAGTTGGTCTGGATAGAATATAGGGGACAAAAAGAGTGCTGCTGCTGTCACTTTGCTGCCTTCTGCCTGTCCTGCTTTGCCATGGATTATTTCTCCTATGGAATGCCCCTCTCATACTTGCCTTGGAGTCAGCTGACTATGTACTAAAACCTCTACAATCTGTGAACCAAAATGAACCTTTCTGCCTTTAACTTTGGGTATAAGGTACTTTGTCTTAGCAATGAGAAAAGTAGTTAAGATAGATAGCATTCTTAAAATGAAAATCTCTTTGAATATTTGTAAAATTTAAATAATTTTACATTTATACAACCTATCATTTTCTATAAAAATACTGTTTTTTTCTTTTCATTGAGATTCTTTGAGCTATGGTAATTTGGACAGTGGTACAAAGAATGACTTGAACATTTTAATATCCATTTTCTTGCAAAGTTGTTATATAATTGAACATTTTAATATCCATTTCTTACAAAGTTGTTAAATTATAATTCCAAATAATTTCTAGACAATGTCCTTAAAATGTTTAAAATCTGAAAGTAAGTTGGAGTCAAAGAATCCTAAATGAAACAAAATATGTGGTCTAAGGCATTTCAATTTAAATTGAGAAACACAAGAATTCTGGGTAACCGTCTTATCTACCTTTACCTTTTCAAAATCTTCTGTAGTGAACTGTTGAGAAGCTAAGTTAAGTAGCCCTTCAGGATCAGTGGCTTTCTTTAAGGTGTGTTGCACAGTTGGAAGAAGTGGGTGGCAAGGAGAAGATTCATTGCAGTTAATCAGTAATCCAAATGCTTCCACAAAGTTAGCTGGAATTAAACTGAAGTTCTACATCAAATCAAAATGTAACAGGTAATCATTAAGCCTTGAACAATTTGGAAAAATTAATTACAAATTTATCACAATATATATAACTCATTTAATTACTTATTAACCATACTGCATGAGTAAACGGTTGAGCGGTATCAACACTAACATTATTAAAATTTAAAGCATATTTCAATGGCCTGGGGACTTGAGAACATTTCTCTTTTTTACAAAGCTCTTAATACTTTTTAAAAAACACATTACTTATTAAAGACTTCTAACTACTGATTCAAATGGAAATTGCTATTGAGTAGACATCTTATTTGTGTAACTAAAAAACATTAAAAACTTTAGGGGATGTATCTCACTTGTCTAGCCTGCTCAAGGCCCTGGGTCTGACCCTAGTATCACACACACACACACACACACACACACACACACACACAACTTAAATTTAAACAACTGAGTCACTAGTTGTAGTACTTAATACAGAAATGGGTTAATAACAAAAAATTAAAAAGGCACATTAAAATTTGTGACTAAGTTCCCTGATTATTAAAATAATAACATAAATGTGTACTTTACCATCTGACCAATTAGAGTGTTGGTTTTCTGTGCATTTCTCTTTGAAGGTGAATCCATATCAACAAAAGACCAAAAACTGCACTGAACTGGAAAAGTCATTTGTTGATCTATATCATCCCCAAACTTCTTTCCTGGGATGTATACTGTAATGCTTCTGCTCTCCAGAACTAAGTTAGAAGACATTATCCTTTTATAATTTAAGTTTATTTTTGCCTATATGTCTATAAGTTAACAAATATATAAAATTTTACTATTTAAATTTCAGAAAGTGAAAACACAAATTTGATTGTCTTGAGAGATATTACTATATTAAAGCACTTGACATAAATAGAACAAGACAAAGAAAGTTGAATGTGTATAACCTCCCATGATTGCTGAGAACCACCAGTCCTAAGCACGTAGGTGGAATTATAGCTGGGTACCTTGGTGGAATAAACAGAATGCTAGGAGATTGGTCACATAGTACAAGCTTACAAGGGAGCCTGAAATTAACTCGTGTTACTTTAGGTGGAAAAAAAATGATAGAAAGTGGGTCATCCATTTGGGAAGGTATAGGGAAAAGACAAGAGTATGAACCACAATGACTGGGCTAATATATTTCAAAATCAAATGTTATAGATACAAGCCATCATTTAATCCTCCCCTCCCCACTACTTTGTTTCCATTATTTCACAACTGATCACATATCTTATTCATCCACTTAAGCAAAAACCAAATCAAACCACCAAAATGAAAACATGCTGTCTTTCCCTTTCTGTCTTTCCTTTACCCTTTATAATCTACCCAATCTATGGATTTAATTGTATTAGTTGGATTCTACATTCCAAGTAGTTTCAAGATAATCTTTTGAAATTCGTAACATCTGTCTTTTGTATCCATGTTTATCTTTCTCTTAGATCATGACAAGTGTATATTTAACTTTATAGAAACTTCCAGAGCAGTTTTCAAAATGGCTATACCACTTGATACTCTTACCAATAATATATGAGTATATCCAGGTACACCAGACCCTAAATAATAGTTTTTGTTGTCAGTCTTTTTAATTTTTACCATCCTAATAGGCAGGATAAATGACATAATTTGTGGTGCCCACTGTAAAACAAGAATCTGGGCCTCTTGTTTAAAAAGCAGAAGTAATGTTACTGTTAAAGTACTAATATACAAGGCTTTTTTCTTTAACAATATTTTATATATAAAATGTAATGACACGGTATGGAGAAATTGTATTCCCCATGAATTACTGGTGGGAATATTCAATAGTGTGGTTCCTGGAGAAAACAGTCTGATAATTCTTCAAAAAGTTAAAACAGTAAAGCTAGGTATGGAAATAAATTCCTATAATTGCAGTACTATGGGGAGGCTGATGCAGGAGGATCACAAGTGTGAGCTCAGCAATTTATGAGACCTTGTCTCAAAAGTAAAGCACTGTGGATACAACTCAGTGCAGAGTCCCTGGGTTTAATCTCCACCATCAGATAAACACACAAAAAAGTTAAACACTGAAGTACCATAGGATCCAGTAATTCCAATCATAGGCTATATTAAAAAGTGTTGAAAGGACTCAACCATATTTACATCAATGTTTATGACATCACTATTCACGAAAACCACAGGTTGTATTTTCAGTCTCTTATATTCTGGTTATACATTCTATGTAAAAATGTATATATTGTCTTACTTTAATGCCTAGTCACTATTTTTCTAATATTTCCTCTTTCTTTTTTTTCATTTTTATGATACTAGAGATTTAGGGCCCGGGGCTTTTGCATTCAGTTACATCTCCAGCCTTTTATTTCTTTTATTCCAGGGTGAGCTCAAACTTGGAACTCTCCTGCTTGAGCCTCCCACAGTGCTAGAATTATAAGTGTGCATCACCATGGTCAGTACTATTCATATTTTTTTTCAGTTTCTTTTCTGGGGGCCTGCCCATTAGCTCAGTTAGGTGCCTGCTTAAGCAAAGGCAGTCAGGCTCAGGATACTGTGGTTTGATCCCCAGATCCTCATGCTTTTCCAGACCTGACCATAAGGCATACTGAGCTATCAAAAAAAAAAATCCTTTAGTATTATGTTTGCAATTTATGCAATTTACAGCCATGTTAGGGATTGGTTATGTATACATATTACAGCTTATTTCTAATTCCCATCCCCTTTCCACCTTACCACCTCCCCCACAGGTTTCCCTGTCTCCTTTTTCATACTTGTTGATATTATTTTTCTAAACTCATGTTGTGTAATATAGTGTTTACATTAATTGGAGTTATTAGGCTCCTGTGCATAGCACATCTTTATTCCTCTCATTTCTCCTCCCTCTTTTCATCTTTTGCCCTCGTTCCCTTGGACCACTTCTTTATTGCAATTGCAAGAGATCTGTCCTCATCTCTTTGTATTCATAGTACAAGATGCAGACATGATATCTAAACATTGGTACAAATCTTTCTTCTCATTGAATTTAGAGAAAATAGCTATATATCTATCCTATTTTGTATATATATATTTATATCTGTACTATATATATATATATATATATATATATATCTGTATAAAAATGGTCATTTATATCCCCTTTTGTTTAGTTTTGTCAGAGATGGGTATTCCATTGCCATTTAAATATTGCAGGTGTGTGAATTCAGCAAAATAATCCAATATAGTTTAGTAGTCTATAATAGTAGGGGGTTATCCGTAGGACTGGCAATGTCAGAAATTGTTGACTTGAGCCTTTTACAGCTGAGCATATTAATATGGCTTTACTTTTTATACCTCATTTTTATACTTTTCTGCTGGATGTCTAAGACCAAGATAAAGCAAGACCTATATAACAAGAAATGTAACTTTTGTATCTGACAAGATCAGTCAGATCGCCTCAGGATTTACCCTGAAACCCTGTACCGCAGTTTGTAGATCCTTTGTCAATGTTAGCCAATTGATGAGTCACGGCCATTGCTTGACCAATTTGCTCTCTGTGAAAGCCTGAGAAATGTCTAGGTGACTCTTTTAGGCACATTATACATTGTCAATCACTTGTCTAGGTGACTCTTTTAGGCGCATTATACATTGTCAATCACTTTCCTCTGTGGCCCCATAATCGCCTTGATCAGAAAGTTTGGGATACTACTGAGTTCTTCCTGCAATTTCTTCTACTGAGCTATCTTCCTGGCTCAACCATCTTCCTGCAATTTCTTGTGCAACTGAGGTTCTGTTTAGAAAATCCGGAGTCCGGGGAGATAGTTTGGGGGCCAGGGAGATGGATGGGGGCCTAGGAGATGGCTCAGTAGGCTAAGTGCTTCCTTGGCAAGCGCAAGGGTCTGAGTTCAATCCCTGGTTCCGCCAAAAACAAACAAACAAAAACAAGCAAAGAGAAAATCTTTTCCTCTATCTATGTGTTCAAGTGTTTTACTTCTTTTACCTTCCAGAAGGCTTAATATTTGTTTTAATGTTTAAGTTTTGATTGTTTGATTTAAATTTAGTATATGGTTGAGAGATAAGGGTCCAGTTTTATTCTTCTGCAAACAGATAACTAGTTTTTCCAACACTACTTGTTGAGTAGGCACACTTTTGCACACTTTATCAAAGATCAAATAGTTAACTATGTCTATGGAGGTTTCTGTATCCTCAATTCTGTTCCATTGCTCTATGTGTCTGTTTTTGTTCCAGTACCATGTCATTTTTGTCACTATTGCTTTATAGTATAGGTTAAAATCAGGTATGATAATGCATCTAGTTTTGTTCTTGTTGCTAAAAATTGCTTTTGCTACTCTGTGTCTCTGTTGTCGTCATATGAATTTTAGTATTGCTTTCTCTAGATTTTTAAATATGCAACTTATATCTGTGTAAAGTATCCTACTTGTAGCTATTATCTATCTGTCTATCTATCTATCTATCTATCTATCTATCTATAATCTATCTTTTAACTACATGTAACCCCCTCTTTTTTCTCCTCTCTTCTTTTTTAGGAATACTGCAGGTTGGGGATTAGAGAAGAAGAAGAGTTTGTGGCTTATATGGAGTTTTTTAGTAGAATGTTGCTTCCCTATGGATAATCTCTAGCTTTGTATGTCCAGTGCTAGCATTAACTCCTGTTATTTAGTTTAAGAAATTTTTAATCTGTCCTTATGTTTTGCTGAAAGGATTTTTTCTATCTATAACAGAATCCACAGATTCAATCTTACTCCTATATGATAATTCTTACAATTTCTCTTTCCCTCTTTGTCTATTCTCTATGGAACACTATGTTTATTATTTGTGGTTGTTCTGCAGTGAGGTGCGTGAGATGGGGTGGGGAGAATGGAGGCTGTTTGGATGAGTAGTGTTAAGCACTAAGCAGCAGATTTGAAAGGGACATTAGTGGTCGATTAGAAAAAAAGATTGATGTGGGATCTGATTTTATTGGAATACTTTTAGTTGAGTTGAAGGTTTAGTACTGAGAATTTTCAGAGGGTAGTTTTTGGGGGCAAGAGCAGATATGGGAGAAAGGAGGTTCACATTGTGAATAAGGACAGCTATGTGGTTAAGAACTTGATTATAGGGAGGACAATAAGGTAAGTAAAATATGGAAAAGTCAAAAGCTTAGGACGGGGAAGACTGAAGAATTATACTAGTGAAGGTAGGAGTGACTGTGAGGGGGATAAAGCTGAGGGAGTTTATGTGTTTGGAAGAATAATAAAGATAAATGCTAATAATCTCTCAGAGGTTTGAGGTGGGGAAACTGGATAAAGAACTGAGATGAGGGAGAGAGCCTGGCTATCTATTAAATTAGAGCCTGTGAAAGAACAAATGCACAACAGTAACAATCTAATATACACGTGAAATCATAAAAGAACGTAACCTCACCTTGCTAAATAAACAAAAAGCATATAAAAACTTAAACCAATAAAATGTCCAATGGGAACACAATTAGATATTCCAATAAGACATGGTATATGTGATTCACAAATAACTTCTTTGCCATAGAGTCTGAGTGCTTCCAACCCAATTGCTCCTCTGATCCCTCCACCACAATACTGAAGTTAACTCAGACTTAGGACTTCTTTCTGCTAGGTGGCAGCCATTCTTGCAGAGTTTAATCTAGTTTGAGTTCTTAGGCTAGGAACTCTTGCTTGTACTTATCCCTGGGTGTAATGGTAGATTCAGCAGACAAGTTCCCTGGTACTAAATTATATAGTAAGTCAGGATTATTCCTATGCAATCTATTCAACTACAACAGTAACAAGCAAAGCCATTACAGTGGTATCTATTAGGTCTAGATGAGAAATGACATACCATAAGACTCTTTCTTGG